TTATTTTTTTTGTTGGAACGGATGAGCTCTGTGCAAAATTGTACAGGGTGTCATTTAAGTTCCCGCACAACTTTGAAGACGTATATTTCTGAAACTAAAAGTCCAAATCAAACGAGACTCGAAATATTTTTTATCTATAGTACAACAAATAATTATCTATTAACTCTTTTCGATTCGGCCTCTTTTCGCAGCTATGACTTCGCGGAGACGCTTCGGGTAGGATGTGACTGTGGTACGCAGGTATTCGATGGAAAGATTGTCCCATTCCGCCAGTAATGTCTTCTTCAGAGCCTCTACACTTGAGTGGGGTTTTGCGTTGACCTTCTCCTGCAAGACCCCATCACGGAGAAGTCAAGCGGGTTCAGGTCTGGGGAGCAAGCAGGCTATTCGGATGACTTGATGAAGTCGGGAAAATGGGTCTGGCACCACTCCTGAGTAGTTTTGGCAGTAGGGGCGGGTGCTCCGTCCTGTTGAAAGACCCATATCTTCCCACCGAAATGCGTTTGGGCCCAGGGCATCATATGCTTCCCCAAAATGTCCCGAACGTAGACTTCTTTGTTCACTTTCACCACCTGATCCACGAAAACCAGGGGCACTTCCCGGTTGAGCAGATGGCACCGAAAACAATCACACTGGCAGGATGTGAGGCTGGATAAATTGTTATTCCTTTCTCTGAAGCTTGCTGGGATGTCTGGGCAAGTACTCAATGGTTTTGTGAGTTGAATGCCGCCTCCACAGTGAACAGCTTCTCGTCGGAGAAGACAGTGGCGAGGTGTTCTCCAGACCGCATGCGAGCAAAAAGTTGTTTTGCTTTTTCGAAGCGTCTCTGCTTGTTGACGGCCGATAGAATTGCCACTTTTTGGACACGATATGGGGTCAGTACAAGCTTTGTTTTGACGATTTGTTCCATAGCGAAGATGCTCATTCCCATGTCTGACGCCATCTTTCTTATGCTCCTGTGCGGTTTTCGCCTGATCCTCGTTTTGACGGCGTTGATCTTCTGAGGAGTGGTTACTGAGACGAGTCTTCCTTGTCTGGGAAGGTCACTGGTCGTATTTAGCTCCTTGAAACGTTTGTTGGTGTCTTAAACCGTTCTACGAGGCACACCGAGGCGTTGAATGATCTCTGTCGGGCGCTCATTTCGCTTATGAAGTTCGATAATGGAAGCGCGATGAATGTTAGCCTTCGCCATTTCTCGGAAACACATCCGAATGAAGTGAAACTTGAAAAGTAAGTAAAATACACCTTATTTAACAAAAATAAATTGTATTGGTGCACGAAAAGTGCGACAGCCAAGCTTTTCATGGCGTCTAACTTTTGTGCGGGAACTTAAATGACACCCTGTAATTAATCAATTTTTCTCTGCACCAAAAGTGCACCTCGCCCACCCATATTACAGGGTGTCATTTAAGTTCCCGCACAACTTTGAAGACGTATATTTCTGAAACTAAAAGTCCAAATCAAACGAGACTCAAAATATTTTTTATCTATAGTATAACAAATATTTATCTATTAACTCTTTTTGATTCGGCCTCCTTTCGCAGCTATGACTTCACGGAAACGCTTCGGGTAGGATGCGACTGTGGTACGCAGGTATTCGATGGAAAGATTGTCCCATTCCGCCAGTAATGTCTTCTTCAGAGCCTCTACACTTGAATGGGGTTTTGCGTTGACCTTCTCCTGCAAGACCCCATCACGGGAAAGTCAAGCGGGTTCAGGTCTGGGGAGCAATCAGGCCATTCGGATGACTTGATGAAGTCGGGAAAATGGGTCTGGCACCACTCCTGAGTAGTTTTGGCAGTGTGGGCGGCTGCTCCGTCATGTTGAAAGACCCATTTCTGCCCACCGAAATGCGTTTGGGTCCAGGGCATCACATGCTTCTCCAAAATGTCCCGAACGTAGACTTCTTTGTTCACTTTCACCCCCTGATCCGCGAAAACCAGGGGGCACTTCCCGGTTGAGCAGATGGCAACGAAAACCATCATGCTGGCAGGATGTGAGGCTGGATGATATGTTCTTCTTTTCTCAGAAGCTTGCTGGGATGTCTGGGCAAGTACTCAATGGTTTTGTGAGTTGAATGCCGTCTCCACAGTGAACAGCTTCTCGTCGGAGAAGACAGTGACGAGGTGTTGTCCAGACCGCGTGCGAGCAAGAAGTCGTTTTGCTTTTTCGAAGCGTCTCTGCTTGCTGACGGCCGATAGAATTGCCGCTTTTTGGACACGATATGGGGTCAGTCCAAGCTTCGTTTTGACAATTTGTTCCATAGCGAAGATGCTCATTCCCATGTCTAACGCCATCTTTCTCATGCTCCTGTGGGGGTTTCGCCTGATCCTCGATTTGACGGCGTTGATCTTCTGAGGAGTGGTTACTGAGACGAGTCTTCCTTGTCTGGGACGGTGACTGGTCGTATTTAGCTCCTTGAAACGTTTGTTGGTGTCTTAAACCGTTCTACGAGGCACACCGAGGCGTTGAATGATCTCTGTCGGGCGCTCATTTCGCTTATGAAGTTCGATAATGGAAGCGCAATGGATGTTAGCCTTCGCCATTTCTCGGAAACACATCCGAAAGAGGTGAAACTTGGAAAGTAAGTAAAATATACCTTATTTAACAAAAATAAATTGTATTGGTGCACGAAAAGTGCGACAGCCAAGCTCTTCATGGCGTCAAACTTTTGTGCGGGAACTTAAATGACACCCTGTAGGAATACGGTAGTCGCCAAAATCCAGTTTCCCTCCCCACAGTTTGCAGCTGATATTATTGATATTTTACTCCATATTTATAAGTCTGCATAGATTTTCAAATCCTTGTATGGAGTTTCGCACATTCATTGTTGTGGTTTGTTTTTGCCAGCGCGTGGGGGGATTTGAATTTAAAATTTTTTTGCGTTTTTCATTCTCTAATTTCACGACTTCTAATTCTTTAATTATTACAGCATTCAATTCAGAATAATTTTTCGATCAGTGTGATTCTCAGATTAACCGTAGTACGGTGTCCAAATTTTGAATTTTCCCCTATTCAAAGTTATGATGGTCCCACAACTACATTTTTTATGTGCTCCAATTTTTGCAATAGAGAAATTTCGAAAAAAATGCAATTTCATTCTTTCACGAGGCGGTATTTCAAATTTGAATTTAAACAGTGGAAATTCGAATACCGTTGTCTGAATAATCCACCGTAAATCAAGCCCAGGGTGCTCACTTTATTGGAATATTCAATCCATCAAATTCTTAACAATTTTATGCTGCGGACATGAATCGAGTCTCGCTAGAGTGAACGAATGAAATGACTTCCTCTGCGAAAATGTCGCTTATTCAGCTGGGAGTCTGAAATGGACTACCATCGTCGCATTTCGAATTCATTCACTTCTCGATACTCTACAACGTTTCCCAATTCCACTCGGGACCTTATTTAGTTTTTCTGACGCTAATCGCTTATTATAATGTGGACCCGTTTTTCGCAACATTAATGATTTATTCGAGAATTTGACGAATCAGAAATCGCCGAAAAGTTTTTCGACGTCCAACTTTGGTCTCAAAAAGATTTATAGAAATATTTTTTTAAAGGCGCATTCTTAGAATGGCTAAAATATGCGAAACATTTCATTTCGATTTGAAAATAAATTCAATAAATTAAAATGTTATACGAAGGTCAAAAAGCGACGATTCACATTGAACAGACGACGCGGGTTCAATTCCACCTGTCGCCACGTCGGAATCGTTTCCGCGCCGCCGAAAATTTTCAGACGGCTCGTCGATTTTTGCCAACCTCTTCTCAAAATTGACATACCCGCACAATGGATGATGTCAATATGTTCATATTTGATTATTTCCAAGTTCATCAGCTTTTTAAAATAATTAATCACCATATGAAGGTGGAGGGGGATGGAGAAAATAGGCGACAATTAGCTGTCGCCATTTTGCAAAGATTTGGCTAATTATCAGTGCGCGAATATTTCACTTGGAGGTGGGTCGTTATAATTTCTCATCTGCGGACAATTTTTGATTCTTCTTGCTTGCTCTTAATCTCGTCGAGACCCAATTTTTGAATGAGAGAATATTATCATTCAAAATAACTGGTTAGCCTCAAAAAAAAAAACACGGTAAATATGATGTCTAGAATTGGAGAATACGTGTCTCAACGACGATGACGTTCCCCCGAATTCATATCGTATTTCTATGATGTCTGATCTCCTTTCAGCACTGTAGCCCCGCCCAATTCCCATTTTTTTAAGGCTAGAAAAAAAAGGATGTGACAGCTGAACGTTATTTGCGAGTCCCAAGAAATAGTCGGGGGGCAAAAAAAAAATGTCCGCAGATCGTTTTTGGCATGTTCATCGCGTCATTTCTTTGATTTTTTCCGCTTCGCCTCGTTAATGCGCGAAAGGTGAGAAGCGGACGGAAGGAGCGGGGGGTTCCATTTATTTTCTTCATTAAAACCAAAGATTTTTCTCTTTTTTTCTTCTTTTTTCTTCTTCTATTTTTTTTTGTCTCAATGGCCACAATTAGGCGATAAACGCCTAGGCGCACTAATTTTTGTGGTCACCTTTTTTTTTTATTCGCCAACTCTTTTTTTTCGTCTTCTTTTTTTTTCCCTTTTCTTCTAACATTTGTTTTTTGAAAAAATCTCAATGTTTACGTTTCGCCTAAAAAAAACAACTTCCTCTTAGAAATTTGGGACGTTTTCGACTTGAAAGAATAGCAGAAAGAACTCGGCGGCAAAAATTGAAATTCTGCCCTTTTTTGACACTTTTGTGCTGTTGGAATGAAAATGAGGTGGGGTTCGCTTAACGGCAAAAACAAGCCGAATTATCCGCATATTGTTCTTTTTTTTCGCAACTAGAATCCTCAAAATTACCGAGTTTGTAGTTTGTTGTCGGCGCGAGTTCAGAAATCTTCAACCTCACTTCCTTATTTGATAGCCCAACAATACATCGGAATTACACGCATTTCAATAATGTGCTCTCATCTGATGGTCATTGTGCAAATTATTTTCAGGCGGGAATGTCAATCGGTGACGACATCGAGGCATGCCATGAAGGCGACACCGACTCATTCACCGATTCGCAGTTCCTATTCCGCGCCTATCTGTTCCCGTTCACATATCTATTTGGGATCATCTCGAACACTATCAACATCATCGTGTTTTCGCAAAAGCCGGCAAGTTTTTTGAATGCTTAGGCTCTTCTTCTTCAATTTCTAAAAAAAATATAATGCAAAATGAGGATTTTTAAAAATTTTTGTGGGAAAGAATTCAACACATTGACGATAATCCTCTATAAACGGATTACGGTAGTTAATTAAATTTCTCTTCAACTCGTCATTTTGGTTAGCGTTGTCAAAAAGAAACAGAGGGCTCCCGACTGCTGTTTTTGAATTTCCGCCACAGCTAATTACAACACAGAGGTTTGAGTCGCATCCCGGAAAATGTCCGCAGATGTTTACAATTACATTTTTCACGTTAAGATCAAACCACCAGGGGCCCCAATTCCGATTTTTCTTCACATTTATATTTTTGGAAAAAAAAACATCAAAAATTAAAAAAATATTGCATATAACCACTATTTAAAAAAAAGTGGCAATTTGAAAGATCTCGTTGTCTTCTGAATCGTCTCAATTTCAATTTTTCAGATGCGCTACCAACCTGTGAACTGGTTCTTCCTTGCATTAAGCGTTTCGGACCTCATGACGCTCGTCTCCTCATTCTTTGTGTTCTCGGTTCCGGTGTACGCCGAGAATTCGCACGATGCCGGTATGCGATTAATGGATTCGACGTCGTCGTCGTTGAACCGCGATCCATTATTCATTCGTTTCAGTTCTCATCGAGTATTCGGTGCATCTAATTGTCCTATTCTATCCGCTCGCGCAAACAGGCCTCACCATGTCGGTGTATGTCACCATATTGGTGTCGGTTCATCGCTATCTGGGCGTGTGCCATCCATTTTTGGTAATTCATCGGGGCAACATTGATGGAATAAATTGGAGGCGTTGTTCAGATCAGACGAATATCAAACTCATCGGCTGTCAAGACGGTGATTGTCGCGGCAGTTGCCTTCGCATTCAGCTTCAACATCAGCCGATGGTTCGAGCTTCACGCACAACCATGCTTTAGCAAAAATTATAATCAGTAAGTAAACTCCCTTTAAGCATGGCATGGTCTCGTACCGAAATGGTGTTTTGAACACGAGGATTTTGACCTCCACACATTCTCAAAACGTTCTTGAACCTCAATGATGCGCCTTTAAATTTTTTTTCAGATTTTCAAGTTCTTGTTGTTTTCACACAAGAAATAATGTTCAAGCAAATTTCAGAAATTCCTCCATGATCTACCCCACTCCACTTATGATTAATAATATCTATACACTCGTTTATCGAAACGCAGCTTACACGATTATCATGTTCTTCTTGCCATTCACTATTTTGACATACGTGAATCTCCGAATAATAGCAACACTACAACAATCATACAAGTAATTATTAAATCTTTTTTTAAACATAATATTTTGATTGTAGAATGCGTCGAGAAATGGCGAATGTGCGTTCGAAGCGAGATTCGACGGTTCCCGCGGAAACCATTATAACAAAACTCGAAGGATATGCACCAATTACCTCAATTGAAACAAACTGCAGCAATAATGGTAGTGTTTCGTTGGAATTAACAAGAAAATCAATGTCAAAAATTCAGAACGCAAAGAAAACGGAGTGACAATCATGCTAGTAGCCATCACTACCGAGTTTCTTCTATTCAATCTTTTAGCATTTGCAAATAATATCATCGAATTATCGAACAAACGGTTTTTCCAAGAAATTGAAACGCTTCTTGTCGAGGTACTTTCCTTTCAACGCACCCAAAGATCACTGTGATTTTCAGCTTTCCACCTTCTTGGTAAACGTAAATGGTGCCTCAACGATAATTGTTTATCTTATATTCGGTAGCAAGTATAGGAATGTATTTATCAGGGTATTTCTTACTTTTTGTTTCAAAAACAGCTTCTTAATTTAAAAAATTGCAGCTTCTTCGCGTATACCTCGGTATCAATTTGTGCAAAGGTGATAAGCGATCGATGTACGCTTCACAAGCGCACTTTGAAACCACCCAATTGCTTGATAACACGTCAAGGTTAGAAAGATATAAGGTATGTTGCTCTTTGTAAATATCATTTTTTTCAAGACGAATTCCATAATTGGCTATTATTTCACCTGATCAAAAATTAAAAATAGAGGGAATTCAACCTTGGTTGATATTTTGCACGAATGCGGAACCAATATTAATTAATACTCGTTTCAGAGCTCCGTGAAGCGAACTGACATGAGCTCATTCCGCAACTCATCGCGACGAGCTCGAACTCCAATTTAACTCATTTCATATAATTTTCTTGTTAGTCATCACATCTCGTATGTGTGATCTCATTATTCAACCGGTGTGCTGATTGATCTGTTCCGGGTCTTTCAAACAAAACGAAGCCCTTATATATTTGGTGAAATAGATTATTTTTAATTTGCAAAAAAAAAAATTTAATTAAAACAAAATTTACTTCAAGTACAAAACAGCTCGAAGAACTACAGCTAACGAGATTCCGACGAATACAGACAGCGAGGGGCTCGTCTGCGTTTTGGCGACAATTCGATCGCTGTTGACAATGCGCTCAAATTCCTTGAATTTTCCGCGAAGACTGAAACAATTCTATGAATTTTGAAAACGTAATGCCGTCGTTTTCCGCTTGTTTTAAGCCATTGAACAGGCAATTCTCAGTATCACAGAATTCCAATTTCAGAAATTTCGAAGTAATTTAAAATGGGCTAGGCTTTTCGCAAATCTAGACTAAACGATCTGATAAGTCTGTTCTGATAAATGTATCTTCGTCAAAGGGTCTCTCGGGGTTGAAAGTTTACTGTTGAGGTTTGTGGGAGAACCATCAAACTTTCAGCAGCAAAAAATTATTTTCTAAATGTAAGATAGGATTCCTGCTCCAATAACAATGGGTCAAAAGTGTGTCACAACAATGAAGGGAAATTGTTTGAAACTTCTGAAAATTAAACAAAAACGGATTTTCCTATTTTATAAATTTACGAATGCGTTCCCGTTCATCTCTGTTTAACTTGGTCGTCTGCCATCGCTCACCATCGTCAGAATAGGCATTAGGAACAGTGTGTACTCCCGGGAGGAAATTTCCCGGGAAGTATTCGTTTTAATTTTCCCGGTATTCCCGAAAATTTCGAGAATTTAAATTTCCACAAATTCCCCGAAAACTCCCGAGACTTCCGGGAAGTTCCCAAAGACTTTCTAAAGACTTTCTAATTTAGAAATAAGATCTCTTTTGAATATTTTCACGTACATTTTACGTGATAGGATTACTTCGTTCTCTCTCTCTCTCTCTCTCTCTCTCTCTCTCTCTCTCTCTCTCTCTCTCCCTCTCTGCTTTTTTCTGAATCATTGTTTGGACGTGCATTTACATAGAGTAATATTTTATTTCGAACCCATCTAAACCCCCCCCCCCTCATTTTTCGCATTCGACATATGTACATATTTTTAAGCCATTCGAGTTTTGGAAAAATGCATTCTCCTATTGACAATATGGTTTCGAAATGTACACATCGAAACATTTTTCATTTCATTTAAATCGCACAGAAAAAACTATATTAATAGAACAGGAATGTTCGGGAAAGATTGATTTTTTGCAGTGTCATATTTCGGTAATTTTAGGTCTGACCTCGTGGGATCGGAAGTTTCCAGAATATTTCTGGTACAGATTAGCGATATATTTGAATCATTTATTGTCGATGTCGCGCGACTGTGGAAAATTGGCTAAATGAAAAAAAAAAAAACAATGGCAAAGGTCTTGGCGCAAAACCAAAAATGTAGATGTACGAGCCTATGCATAAGGATAGGTTAAGGCGCACACCGTGCACCAAGACTTCTCCATTTTTGGCATTTAGCCAATTTTCTGCAGCTGTGCAACGCCGACAATACTATGAAATAACATATAATACTAATCACTAGAGGAAAATGAGAAAAAAATTTCGATTTTTATCAACGCAAAAATAGTGTTGCACAGGTTTTCCCACGAGTTTCAAGAGTCAAGGGTTATGTTAAATCAACAAGATCAACTCGAAATTTGATATTCAAAAGAACACTCGTTGTTTCTGTGAGTATAAAAAATACCAGCGACAAAACACACAATTTTCATATTATCAAAAATTCCGAAAATTCACCATTTCAAATCATTGACAAGTTCGTCTTTGATTGTACGATGCGACATTAATCGTTCTTCAAATGTCCTTAAATTCAACAACATTTCGTCATATTTTTAAAATCTGTAATCTTACAAATCGGGTTCCGTCGAAATCTTAAATTTCTGACTGTGTGAATAAATGAAACATATTTGTGCAAATCTGAAACATTTTTCTTTGAATTATCTTCGAATCAAACGATTATTCGTACGTGTTCTCCGAATTCGTCGCAATTTCAATTTGTTTTCGATTTTTCGAAATTCTCGTATCAATTTTGAAGCTATTTGTAAGCCATTTTAGTGCTAAATTCTCTTGAACCATATCTAGATGCGTGATCTGGAAATGAAGATATAAATTGTTTGAGCTGCAAAGCTAGTAACTATCATAATGCTATTTCACGGAAATCCATTTTTAATCTTAAACCGACAATTAATAATAATTTGTAGATATTTCAGGAGTTTTTTTTTTTTGAATTAAAAATTGAATGACCATCAATTTGTTTTTTTATGTCACAAAGAAAGATCGAAAACGTCGATAATTACTTGAAAAAAAAATTAAGAAATAATAATTATTTGAAATATCCAAAACTCTTATGAATTAATTCCTATCAAAAAAATTTTTTTAAAGGTTTCACCTCGGATCCATTAATTTTTTCCAATATGACAATGTCAGGTCGAAATCCCTTTGGATCTTCTCCTTTCTGAAAATGTCAAATTTAAAACAATGCGAAAAACCCGCAAACCGTCATAAAATCAAAAGAAATGTTGCACGATTAAAAATTTTTCCGAATTTTTAGTTTCCGGTTCCGTTTTATTTTTTTTTCAAATCACATGGGTACTTACCAAATTCCAATGAGCATTTTCAAACAATGACATATGCAAACGATTCGTGACATTAGCCTCGAGACCCGCCGCAATTTTCTTCCATTCGAAAATATTCGTCTCCCCTTTTTCGTTGAGATAAATATGCGCAAGCTTGATGAAAGTGTTTCCAGTAATATATGCATCGAAAGCGGCATTATGATATTTTGATCCCTTGAATTCTTCGCTATACCGACGACAATCCATGTCGGCAATCATTGGATGGATTAATTTTTCCGCTTTTGGAGTCATAAAAAAGTCGCACAATGTGTTCAAATTGCTATCACGAATCTGATTTGAATAGAACACCTGTAAAAACTAGCAAGGGTACCAATAAGACTTTCAAGTTTTTAAATAGTTTTCCCTAATATGTAGTTCGAATTCAATGTTTGTTATAAAGTTTGGAAACTAGGAATTTACCAAATAAGAAGATTGAAACAGGTATAAGTGTAAGTGACTAAGCAAATCACTCTTATGAATTTTATTTAACACTTTGTCTGTGGTTAAAAAAAAGTGTCAAACTTAATATTTTGAACATTTTTAATGTATAGTATGAATACGCGAATTAAATTTTTTTTGTTAATTTCAATTCACGTAGATTTTTTCTCGATGATTTTGCAAATCGAACAACACTGGAAAATTGAAAAAGTGGATCAACAAACGCCAATATTTTTTAATTATTAAAGTATTACCTCAGAAATATAGCTGAATATGACTTTGTTATCGATCACAGTATTGAAAACCTCACTGAATTTTTCCTTGAATTCCGTCAATGTGTCTAAATTTTAATTTCTCCTAAACATTCACTCATTTTTGAATAACTTGGCAAGTCGTCAATCAAATAATGATACATGTACATGCAATCCAATACACAATTATGGCCGATGATTGGCATTTTAATATTCGAGATCAGATCAAAAATAGCAGAAACTCCACGAAAACTGGCAAGCAACCTGAAATTAGTTAATAATAGATTGGAGAAGCGGATTAAAGATCGAGGAAAACACACATTTCAGATTAGAAAAAAGAAATTGGCTACAATTCTCGTACTCGCGTTATACTTTTTCCAATATCCGCTTATTTTCATTTCTATTAGCTTTTGTTTCTGAGAAAATAATTGTGTTTTCGTAACTTTTAAAATAAAAAGATAGAAACTAACCTTGTTTTAATCGAATTTCGATATTGCTCAAGGTCATCTGTAAATTTCGAAATTCGAATCTGAATTATTTAAATTGTACCGAAAATGCAAGAATTCTTAATTACCTTCCTTCCGGTTTCGTCAACTTCGAATTCAACATCATCATAGCTTCTTGAGCATTCATAAATCACAGCCAACAATTCTAAATGAGAAATCTTCCTAAAATTGGCATTTTATTCTTTTTCTTTTTTTAATTACTTGCTCATTTATTTCGACTTCCAAATTCTCAGTAAGCTCATCTTCCCATACCATTTTCTCCTTATTAATATCAAAATCGTTCATCTCCAGGCGTAATTTCAAATTTACGTAATAAACTGCGTTCTTCACCGACTTTGTGAAGTATCTAAATTTAATTTAATTTTTTTTTTCGTTTCAATTTAAAATTACGTTAAAATGGATGCGTTTCTATCTAGGATCTTCTCGAATGCCTCAAAGGATTTTCTATTGCAAAATGTGATTCCTTCTTCGAAAATCTGCAAATAATCTATAGAAAATATGTATTAGAAATGAATTTCCTAAATACCTTATTGAAGTCGAAATTATTATGGATCAAAAAATGAGCTGCATTATATGACAATGATGTTTCCAATCGTCCAACTCTTTTTAGAAGTGGTAGACAAAACGAATCAACACACCACCTTTAAATTGACTCCGTGATATTTATTAATTGCAGATTTTCGCAACCCTTTATTATCTTTTTGAAGAAAACACGCAATTCCAACTTGCGACGGCTGATACGTTTTGACGGTTTTGCAAAGTTTTTCATATCTTTCCTCCGGCGAATCAAATAAACTGACAGAATTCATGTCTAATCCGAAAAACTCAAAATCGATGGCTGAAATTGGCCATGAAATTGCAAGGCATAATTGCGTCATTTTTTTACCAACAAATGTCGAATCTTCTATTGTCTCGAAGATTTTTGGAAGCCATTTTTGAAAACTCGCCTCAGTTACATTAATCATTATTAAATTTTATGAGAAGTTGCACATAAAATATCTAAAATAAACATTATTTCTTTCTATTAAAAAGATTATAAAAAAATTTATGCAGTAAATGTTCCATTCGAGAGTTACACGTTCAAATGTAACACGCTCCTTTACCTGCTACCGTAATTGTTTAAATTCGGAAATCATTTCAGAAGCTTTTTTCCAACATTTTACGACAAAAAACTCCACGGTTTCTCCCACACAAATCGCCGAGAAGTGTGCGGTTTTAATTTCCTCAGTCGAAAAATTTCAATTCGTCATCCTTCGAAAAAAAAATTCAATTTATTTTGCTGTGTTATTGACTTTTCCGATATATTCAAAACAGCGCAAATAAATAATACCCTCATGGAAAAAACCAATTCCCAACATTATTCGTATCATATTCATGTGCAGATCTTGTTACTTTATCAACTTTAAATCGTACGGTTACTGTGGATCAGTTTGAAACCCAAAAAAAAAACGGAGAGAGCACGCGAAACAAGGAGGATTAGAGGGCGCGCGGATGACCTTCTCCCCGTTGTTTTATGCTCATATGCTGTCATAGACGGTTAGAAAACCTCCTTCTCATTTGCACATATGTTTCCCCGCGCTCTAAATTTCTAAAAACGCTACTTATTCGCATTTATGTGCAATATTTCCGGATATTATATTTTAACAAAAAGTTGTTTTTGTTGTATATTTGTTTGCCCAAAGTGCACATTTCTTTTTTTTTTCTTTTTTTCAGAAGCGCGACGACCATCGGCGTGGAAAACGGCGGCCACGGGTCGAAAATCAATAAATATTGGCGGAAAACGACGAAAAGAAACGGTTTTCGACAATTCTGACGATTGAATGAAGAACTATGGAATGGACGAAAAATATGTGTATGTTTTTTTTATAAAAACACGATGTCGACAATCGTTATTTTTGTTTTGCTTCGGAACGCGAAAAGGAAACAGAGAAATTGGCAAATATTTACGAAATATTCCAAATTTTTTAAAGTACTGGTAAACTAAACTTATTTTTTATGGTCATTCTAATTTAATTTTTAAATATTTTTTTAAACTAAATGTGAAGATTTCATATTGGATTTTGCCGAATTATTGGAAATAGTTGGTATTTATAATAAAGTTTATAGTCCAATTCTAAAAAAAAACGACAAACCATCAATTGTTATCCAAAATTTAGATAAATTATGCGCAATATTCCTTTAGTTGCAAATATATTGTGCTTTTATTAACAAAAAAAAATATTTCTCGAAATTGATTCTTTAAGTGAAATATTTATATTCCCATTTTTATCAGGAGCGGACTAAATATTTCAAGAAAATTGAAGTAAATCGTATCTAATGAAAATATAATCTTTTTTTTTCATTATCACCGAAGACGGGAAAACTTTATGAGATGAAATTTTGAACGAGTCTATTTGGGCACGTACAAATTTTCGGATATGAATGGTGAAAAAAACATGTAAAAAAAAAATACAGCATACGTTTTTTTTAGTAAGAAATTTTCCGACAATATCAAATGCACAAATTTCAGTAGTTGGATTGATACAAAACGGTATCGAATTTCATACAGCTGATTTAAAGAAAGAATACCAGCTTGAATTCGTTTTTATTGGGATCGTCATCGTCTGTGTTTGCCGGTCGATACTTCAAGTATGAAATTACTTCTAAAAATTTGATAATTTTTTTATTTCAGATAGTTTACGCACGTATTCAAGAGGTCACTAACCCGCTTTTAGTTGATGATCCAGTTGATAGGATTCAAGAAATGCGGATAATCCAAGAACGCGCTTTTGAAGATCATCCGCGTTCACATCGCCGTGGTCGTCGGAGGCATTGAAATCCGACAGATAATTGGTTTTATTAGCGCAATACATATCTTATATTACTTTTTTTTCTTTCATTTTTTTACAAGTAATTTCTAACATCTAATATTTTTTCAAAATTTATTTATTAAATTCAATTGTATTTTCACTGTCAATTGTGATTCCGCGTTTCACTTCTTCCCCTTTCTCTTTCAGGATTTCTTCGATGTTTCGACCCTGCAGTATATAAAATATTGCTTGTTTTTTTGTCGATTTCAGTTATTTACTTTGAAATCCTCAAACCATCCGATGTTGTCGGCAATGATATGGTGATTGTGGCATCCAGTGCATGTAACTATTACAACTCCTTTCTCGTACGATGATTTTGCAAATGTTTTGGGACCCTTTAAAGCATTATTATTGTTAAAACGAATACATAATTTATTGTATTACCTGCCGAGAATTACAGACTTTACATGTATAAGTAAGAGAAAGCTTTGGAACCTGATGTGCCAACGGAGTTGAATAGAACCTTCTAGAAACCAAAAATACGGTTTTTGAAGTGGAAGGCTGGGTGGTATAATTATTAACGGCCCGAGCAATTGGCGTAGAGAGTGTCTTGAAAATTTTACCGACTATAGATGCTTGCATCATCCTGAATCTTTCAATTTGAGTTCCCAGATTTTCAAGCGAATGAAAATAATATTTGAAATTTGATAAGCGATTAATTGAATTATTTTATTTTCAGTTTCTAATTTTAAATATTGAACCATTAAGAATAATTGATGCATTAAAAGATTAAAAAAAACGTAAGAAAGAAATTTATTTCACGGCGTTCACACTAGTGGGATTTACCTGAAATGAAAACTCAAACTGTGTCAGTGGTCGATTGTTGGCGTCTTTGACGCGCAGACGAATTTTTTAAAAATCGCCAGGTTTTGGCTCATTTTTCAAGTTTTTTGAATTTTTCTCAAATTTTAACAAAAAAGTGCACCGACCACGTTTTTCGCAAGGCTTTTTTCTATCGAAAAAGCTTTACTATAATTCAATCGGATAAGTATTCAGAGGTCCGTAGTTTTTTAAAGATTGAACTGTAAAAATATTCACATTTCTTTTCTCTGTTTTTTCACTCTCTCTTTTGTTAATATCATTTATTGTTATATTATATGGTTTGATTTATACGATTATGTTTGGTAACACTTGGAAAAACATTTCATAGTTGTTTATTTTTAATTTTTTTTGCAAATTTTAAATGTAAATTGTGTGTCATTTCGGCTGAGAAGTTGCAAGAGATTCTCTATAATTTTTTGTTGTTTTTTTTTTTTTAATTTCGTTAGTTCTTACGTTAATTTACCGTTTTCAGCTTCTTTTTTCGCTATTTATCTCTCTCGCGTCATTATCTACTCGCATTGAATTCATTTATTGAATTCAGATAAGCACTCCATCTCGAAAATCAAAAGCTGGCGGAGTGATGAAACGATATCACGGACAATTCGCTTTTCGAGATTTTTTTTTAACTTCCGAATTACTCCAAAAGACCAATGGAAAGACGTCCTCAACTCAAAAATGTATTTTTTTTAGTCATTTGTGTTGTATAACATCAAATTGTTCTTTTCAAGCTGCCTAATGAAATCGGTAAAGAGCATCTTGTTAAATGTATTTGTTGATTATCCATTTGTTTCCAAATTGATAAGTGTGTTTTTTTCCCTATTAGTTTTGCAATTTTCCAAATGTCCTTATATCCTCTTTTTCCGAATTCAATCTCTCTCGCGTCTTTATCTACTCGCATTGAATTCATCTGCTACATATCATCAATTTTTATATCATAATTCGATTGTGTAGTATTTCTTTCGTTTAATTGATGGTTTTATCATTTAAAAATGTTATATGTTAAAAAAAAATCCTATATAAATTAAAATAACTTATTTAGTTTATAACTAAATAGACCATAAATTGCGGTGAATATGATCCACCCGAAGAAATATAAAAACTAATCGTTCTTATTGAAAAAACGATCCATTTTGAGAATGTTTCTAATTTATTTCACAAATTTAATTTGTTGAATTTATGCACCGCAATAGCGCTAAGCTGCAAGTGCGCTCCATTGAGAAAAATCTTTTTTTCATGTAAATCCCACTAGTGCGAACGCCGTGATTTCACAGGAATTAATTTCGCGGCCGCGGACTAGAAAATATAATTTTGTAGCGTAGTCCACGAGGAAAACTGTCCTTTTATTGTTTACGAATCGATAAATGTTGAGTTTTTATTTCGTTGACTCGACTTTTAGTTTATAAAGTATACTTTTTTGTTAATTTTTAGTTTTGACCGGCTAATCTTCATATGTATATTTTACGCAGTATTTTTTGCTGAAAGTTATCCTAACTAAGGTTTTCATTCAAATCGTTTATTGGACGATAATTGTTCATATAGGAGTTCGTAGGAGTGACATAAAGGCAACTTCGTGATTAATTCTGAAGTTATTATTATTTTGTGTATGTTAACGATTCGATTCTCAAAATAATCATTTCATAACTTATTGCGAAATCTTGAGATGATTAGACAAACAGGCAAGTGTGATGACTCATTCTGATGCTGCCCATAAATATCCCAATTTTTCTAAATTTTTTCATTTTCAGAATGTCTATTAGTTGGGGTGCTCAGTATCCAAAGCTCAAAACCAATTTACGGTTAGCAATCAATCGATTGCAACTTCTCGGCAAAAAGAAAACCGAGATGGCGATGAAAGCGCGCACGGAAATCGCCGATTATATTGCAGGTTTGTCGGAATTTTTGCGGAATCGTATCAATTTTTCATTCAGCAAATAAACCGGATCGTGCTCGAATTCGCGTCGAGCACATTATTCGAGAAGACTATGTTGTTGAAGCGTTCGAAATACTCGAAATGTACTGTGATTTGCTGCTAGCAAGATTTGGATTAATAGAACAAATGAAGTAAGAGCATTTTTTATTGAATTTTCAATACCTTCGAAGAATTTCAGAACACTTGATGATGGAATCGCCGAGGCTGTTATCAGCATCATGTGGTCAGCACCACGACTGGCCACTGATATCGCCGAATTCAAAACAATCAGCGATCAGCTTACCGTAAAATACGGCAAACCGTTTGCCGAGGCTGCCAGAGCGAATCAACTCGAATATCCGGCTCGAGTTAACCCGAAAATCATCTCGAAACTTGGAGCCGCTGCTCCACCAAAGCTGCTCGTCGAGAGATACATGATTGAGATCGCTGCAGCCGCCAATATTCCGTTTGTTCCTGATCCGGATGTAATGCGTGAAGATGAAGTGCATCAAGCCGAACAGATCTTGATTGATTTCAAGAATGCTGGCGGACATGGAGGAGACCCATCAGAGGTGATTTCGCAATCTTGGAGATGTGTTGAGCTTTAGTTTTTAGAATTCATATGGAGGAGGAGGAAGTTCACATGGGGGAAACAGTAGCGGCGGCGGTGGAAGTCAGTACGGCTGGAATTTAGACGGAACTCCAATTGGTGGTGGAGCTGCTCCTGCTCCTCCAGGAATAGGGCTAGGCGTTGTTCCCAACATTGTGCCGCCATACAATTCAAACCCGAAACCACCAATTGGTAAGCAAACTTATTCTTTATGTTTTTGAACTTTTTTATAAGAGCGGGCGGTGTTTGTAGACGACGAACACATTTATGATCAAATTCCTTCATCGCCTGGTATGTTATCGATGTCCTTCGTTATTGTGATGTCTTGAAATTTTGATTTTTTTTGAGTCGATTTTCTACAAGATTATTTTTAAATTCCAATTTTTTCCAAGAGAATTTTTCCAAGACAATCCTAACAAGAACAAGCATAATGTGAAAAAAAAGTTTCTGGAAATTACAAGACTCATAAATCTATCCGTAAAATTTACAAGTTAGTCGCCAAAAAATATCTGTTCTTTGGCGAAGTAGCACAAACAAAAAATATTTAAAAAATTAAATTATTTATTGTTTCCCTGTGTGCCGTCTTTTCCTTTCTTCTGTGTTCATTTGTCCTCTGAGTTAGTTTAATTTTCACAGCTAGTTTTCCTCCGTTAACAAAAGCTTGTGACTTGAAAAGTTTTGTTGAAAAGCTTTTGCTTCGCGAAATTTTTCAAACTTTGCCTATCATCTTTAATATTTCAGGAAACATCTATGAGGTGCCGAAGCGGGATAACTATGATTATCCACCGGATAGTTTTCCACAAAACAGCGAGTAAGGATGATTTCATTTAAAATGTAAACGAAATTATTTTTATTTGTTCAGACCGAATCCTGGAGTAATCAATTTGCCGAAAATCGGTGCTAATGGAATGCCAATTTATTCGGACTCGACTGCTGACAAAGCTTATCCGGCTCTATCGCAAAGAGTTCGTTTTTTTTTTAATTTTTGCATTTTGACATGTGGGCAAAAAAATGTGTTGAAAAACCAAAGTACAGCTCATATTTTATTGGTGATTTATAATGTGCGATAGTTGATGAGCCCCGTGTTCTGTTGACGTCGACCCTCGGGGAATTCAGAAGTCACTTCCATTTACTTCTTCGTTTTAACATTGTTGCCCTTCGTCGCTTGTTTTCAACGTTTTCTGATCGGCTCTTCTTGCTTCATGCGTGCGATTTTTTCACTTGAGTAGATTTATGACGATTCGTTTGAAGATCAGAGATTTTTGCGGAAGTCAATATAAAAATGTTAATCAAGAGAATGCTGAAACAATGGGTTTTCTTTTCAAAACCCTCTGCAGGACTAACTAATGTGCTGCTACTTGTATCATAATTGAAGAGCAGACACAGTGGTAGATAGATCATTTTAGTTTGAGACTCAAAAAATGTTTCTTTCCTATAAGCATGGATTTTTTATGGATTTAAGAAAATTTAGAGTTGTTTAAATAATTTCGAAACAAAAAAATCGTTAAGGTTTTTTTTTTTATTTTTCATCAACTTAAGGCAACATTTTTGTAAAATGTATTTTTGAGGAAACGTTGACATTGAATCGCAATCAAAAATGTATGTAGTTTCCACGTGGCAAAGTGACTCGTTCTTTTTCATGACATTCAAAAAACGAGGAAATGCGGTTCCACTGGGAATAAAAAATCACGACTTTTTAGTTTGTTTTTTTCTTCTGGATGGATTTGTCTCGTTTGAATTACCGTAAATAATAATTGGAACATGTTTTATTGGCTTTGTGCATTCAATGTAATTGGTTTGGTTGTTGCTCCATCGTTCGGAAACAAAAAAAATCGAGCGATTTTTTTTGGATGTCCGAAACTAGTGGTATCTGTTGCAATGATCGAGCGAAATTGGTTCAGTCATTCGAAAAATGCCAATAATTGAGTTGCGACGATGTCCGGATTAGATGGCGCGTGAGATTTGGAGCTGAGTGTGCACCCATCCGCCAGTTTGTGAATAGGTTTCGATGCGGCATTCCAATATTTTACTTTTGATTTCGAGCATTTTCGCCGCGCTTCTTTTATGGAGTTGAATCGAAGTTCGAGCCCAATAAAATGGTTGACGAGCATAGAAGCTCAAGTAATCATTGATTGTGCACGTTGACTTTGGAAAACCACACACACACACTTAAATGTTAGTCTTTGAAATTTGTAGTCGTGGTGTCAGTACCACGACTACATGTAGATGAAAAAATTGAATGAAAAAAATCTGCTTTCTTCCCTTTTTTCCTCTATTTCTTCCGTATCGCTAATTTTCCTACGCTTTTGTAATTTCTGTTAATACCTAACCATAAGCTTCAATCGAAAAGAACTACCACGAAGCGCACTCAAGACCTGATGTTTCTCAAGTTTTTCATTAGTTCTTCTATTACATATTTCAATTCTATTACATATTTCAAAAAACCTAAAGTGCACAATCAAGGCTTCCAGCTTTTAAGCTTTTATTTTTCGCATTTTTATTTTGATTTTCTTTTGAAAAATAAAAATGCTCGCCGGCCTTTCATTTTCCCGCTTCCCCCATGAGTGCACTTTTGTTTCGACGGCGGTATTCGTTTCATTCAATTGATGAACGTGTTCCTATGGTTTTTTGCCTCGGTTTGACATCATCGCAGGTTTTGAAAAAGAATGTTGGATTGAGACTTCTATCATATATACAAAACGACAAATCTATCTAAATTTAACTATGAACAAACACGAAGTAAATGCAAAACATTCGATTTCTGGAATAAACAGAACGTTTTTCGGGTGCAGTACGGAGTAATAAAGTTTTTTTCGATATTTCAAAAAATTGTCTTCTAGTAGTAGTAAATCCTTGTGCAGACGGAAAAATTCCATAGTCAAAAAAATCTCTATCCTGTTTTACCGTAATTCTTCATAGGGATGGATATGTGCTCTTTTCCAATTATAGGGACGGACCGATTCGTGCTCTTTTCCAATTATAAGGACCGATTTGTGCTCTTTTCCAATTATCTTCCTATGGACTATAATTTTCGATTGTTAGAATATGATTATAATCGTTGACTGGTCCAACGAGCGTCATTCTCCTTCAAGACAATCCATTTTTACGCTTTATGCTTTTGAAAGCGGAACCAATTCCTGCTGCTACTTCTTCTTCATCTTCAGAAACTCCGCCCAATTTCTTTTAATTTTTTTCCTTTTCGTCACGCGGTTTGAATGGCATTCATGGATGTGAAATGGCTTTTGATTACCGTATGCTCTTTCCACTCATTGGGTTTCTTCTTCTTTGATTGTGTTTTTCCTCGTATTTTCGTCGGTAAAAATCGCTCATTTCTATCAACACATTCTAGATGCTTTTGCTAACTCGCACTAAGACGTTGACGGCGGCCGAATCGCGCAAAAAGTCGAAATCGGTGAAGCGATGCTCGTCGTGCAAACGGCCGACGAGTGTTCGCCGATGCAAGACGCCGGAGCCGTCGAGTTTGAAAGAAAAGGTCAACAATGAGGGTTCATTTTTTGGGGCAATTAAAATTTTAATGGATTTTTAAAAACACTTTGCAGAACTCACTCATCCAGCCGCAGATTCCACCGAATCATCCAACAGCGCCACCACAGAGCCTTAGAAAACCAGATGATATCAATGGTAGGAATTTGCGATTGAAAATGTGTGATTCTTTAAATTTATATGTCGACAAATATTACATGTAGTTTTATTCTTCCATCCAAAAACAGATATGTAATGTTTGTGGATGTTTAATTTAATGAGAGCCACTGGTAAATACATCACAGTCCTTCACATTGCCAATTTCTTGCAGATCTCAATTTCCCGGAACCACCAACAACTTTTGTGAGCAAGCCGGGAGGCGGGTCAGGATCTGGAGCAGGAGGATCAGGCAACAGTGGAGGTGGAAATGGAGGAGATCTTGACTTCGATGACCTCGCGAAACGATTTGATGCTCTCAAGAAGCGCAATAATTGATTAGCGTTTGCATCTTACTCTAAATGTATCATATTCATGAGCGCCGTATATTCCATTTTTTTTGTATTTATATCCGTTCAATTTCGAGTAGAATTTGTGTTAAAACCCAAACAAAATGTACCAAGTAATGCATGTATTTATCAACTACGCCAAACTTCATTTAATCACGATAAATCATCAAAATTAATTGTTTGGTGTCGAATTTGGATTTGCTCGTAACCTGTTAAGACTTCAGAATTTGTATCGGGGGTTGAGATTGTGTTTGTTTTCTTCATGTGTTTCATTTTCAGATGGATTCTGAGCAGGAAAACGATAAAAATGAGCTCGGGATGAATCGACTCAAAATTGTGAGGAAACGAGAAAATGGAGGAAAAGACGAGTTCGTTTATGTAAGACGAATATGAGAATTCGATATTTTAATATAATTTTTAAAATGCTCCTTTAAAGATAAATAGAAGAATTTTCCGCGGACTACTCAGTTTTAGTTTTTTTTTTAAAGTTTTCGTGTTAGAATTTTATTTAATGTGTCTTTATAATTCAAAGAAACTTGGCTGTTGAAAATTTAAAACAATCAGAACGTTTTTTCCGGAATATTGAAAAGCAAGTAATTTCGAATTTTAAGTACCCAATTCGATTTATGGGGAAAAATGTAAAAAAAAAAGAAAATGGAGAAAGTTTTAATGCAGCAAAAGAAGAAGTATTAGCAAATTCATTTTTTTTTCTTTTTTTCTTTATTGAAATGTTCCCTATTTTTTTGTATTCTTACCTTTTCCAGCAGTGTCCCTTTAAAAAAAATTGTTACGAAATGTGAATGCGGTATTTTTTTTTTGTAAACGAAACTAACAAACACATATTCGTATTCTTGGCAAATGTTGGAAGTTTGAGGCCGACATTTTTTTGATAATCCGTTTTCTGGCGTCGAAGTGAGCAGAAAAAAAAATAAGCGAGGGCGAATTTCAAATTAAATTTGAAGATTAAAATGCGGATTAAATGGAATTTGCGAAAAAAAAATGCAAAAACGAACTAAGAAACTACGAACGAAATATTGTCGAAACATTTGAATCGATTTAATTGGATTTCAGAAGAAAATTCCACGCCATCGCGGATTTTTCTCGCAGAAAGATGTTCGTGAGCATACTGGATGTGTGAATTGCATAGAATTATCAAAAGATGAAAATCTCCTAATCAGCGGTAATCGTTTGAGTAGAATTTATGTTTTATAACGGGAAATAATTAAAGGAGGCGATGATTTGAGGGTAATTATTTGGAATTTCGCCGAAATGATGCTTCAGAGAGCGCCGCAGCCGAGGATGGTGATGAAACAACAGCACAAATCGAATATTTTCTCTGCCGCTTTTACAAATGAGTATGATTTGAAGTTTTTGCGAAAAAATTATGGTCACATTTTAAATGGTTTTGGATGAGCTTTTAGAATAAAACTTTCAAAATGGTTCTGACAAAACGAGAAAACTTGAAAATCATTAAAATTGAAAATTCGATCTGAAATTGGCTATTTAACAGCACAAAATCAGTGTACACTGGAGGCAATGATGGAATGATTATTATGCATGATCTTAATACGGGAAAGAAGATTATGAGTTGCGAGAGGGACTTTTTCAGACCGGTGTTTTCAATATCGCAAAATGTAAGACGAAATGTGAATTATTTAGTTGCAACATTTATTTTTCAGCCATTTGATAATAATTTGATTGGAATTGCATCGTCTGCGCTGTGGACATATGATCCGAGAAGCGATGAAACAGCGCTGATATTGCGAGAATCTGATGAAGGCGACATTTCCCATGGTTTTCTTTTTTGATTGATTTCAACGAATTATTATCATCATCATTTTTTTCAGAGGGACCATATTATTCAGTATCATTTCATCCGCAAACCGCTTATCTTCTAGCGGCAAGTTCTGCTAGCGAAGGACCCCTCATATACGATATTCGAAACACTGAAAAGTTGCTCATTCATTTTTTATTCGCTTTAAAATTTGAGAATTCTTTTCAGGCCGCTTATGGCACGCAGAGAGTTTGGCGGAATATCGGACACTAGCCATAGATCGGGATTAATTGAAGACACGTGTGCTGTGTATGCCGAATGGAGTCCGAGTGGAGAAAACCTGGCGGTTCTTTATTCCGAACATGTCCCACATTTCTATAACGTAAATATTGAGAAAAATGCATTCCCTGAAAAATATATTCCAGTTTGCCGACAAAACTTGCCATGTATTGGAGCAGCAGGATTATGAGTGTAAGCAGACGTTCAAATCACTAACGTTCATTGACGAACGTACGATTGCCACCGGATCGGATAATTTTGAGATCATGTGGTGGGAAGTGCCGGAACCTGACTTCCTTGAAAGTTTTGAATATATTTATTTCATTCATTAGAAGGGAAATTGCAGAACCGAATCAGGATCAAACATTCAGAAAAATTGAGATTAGTATGTGCAGCAAGTATCTTCAAGGTCATCGATCGATTCCAAATCAAGTGCGCTATAGCAGCAATAATCATGTACTGGTGTCAAGTGGTGTTGAAAATATGGTCAAGGTATCATGCGCCTTTAAATTAATTGGTTTACGATAGTCGGTTTTAGCTTTGGTCGAGCTACAGACTTCCATGGTCTTATGATCGGCCATTCACTCGACTGAAGTTCGGACAATATATGGGAACCCGTGCAAATCAAGATGCCATTGAGAAACGATTAGCTGAAGAGCTTGAAGAGGAATTGGGCGACGAGTTGGAAGGTCGAGCGAAATGGGAGGACGTGTTCGGAGGAGATCCGGCGACTGCTGAATGCCGCCGCACATGCGAGCACTTTGATCGCGCCGGCGTGAGTTCACCTCGTAATAACACCCTAGATACTTGGGTACTGATTCATATTTCATTTTGGGCTCGTTGGTATTATCCAGTTTTGGCTCACCGCAATCTGTAGCAACAGATTCGGAAACTCTAGATTCTGATTCATCAGTTGATGAAGTAAATCAATTACAGCATCGTGGACATCGAGCAGCACACGCCAGCATCGCGCATTTATTTATGGATGTTTTTGAGAGTATCTGTAAGATTATTGAAATGTGGAATCACTTTTTTGGAATCAATCAATAATTTTTTGAGAAAAGAGAAATTGGCAATTTCGAGGCCCCGGATAACAAATAAACAGAAAATTACAAAAATTTTATGGCAGAAAATTTAAAAAATAACTTAAAATAACTCGAATATTTTTTCAGATGAGGAGCCTGGATATAGTCATCGTGAGCTTCATGGATATTATGACGAAGTACCGAATGATGGAGATGAGGATTACCCATATGGGCAATGGGTTGGACGAGTAAACAATGATAATGAGGTGGAAAGAGAACCACAACCTGACCGAGACGTGGATAATCTTGAGGAGCCGATTGACAATAATCTGCCAGAGAATGGAACTGATTCTGAAGAAGCCGGTGTTCCAGAAGCTGAACAACAGGTGGAAGACGTAACTGAAGAAGGCAACGGTGAAGAAGCTGTGGAAGCGGAAAACGATGAGATTCCTGAGCAAAATGATGAATAGTTAAAACTAGACTTGATTGCCGAGTATTTTCATATTGTGAGTTAGTGGGCCACGTAATGTGCCTTTAATCTGCGTCTCAAGGTGAAATTTTTTTAAATGAACGAGACAATTAAAGGCGCATACTCGGAAATAATGAAGCCGCATAATCGCAATGAAATCCCATAATTATAGTAGTATTTTTGAAATTTACAGGAATATCTTCTATTGGCTGAAACAATTCGATTTCACAAATAGTCACATAGCGAATTATCGGCATTTATCTTCAAAAACTACATATTCAATTATTTATTACATTGTTTATATGGAAAGCTGGTAATTGAAAATCTCTCGTTTCTTTCCTTTCTCTTTAATTTCAAAAATACTAATACAACGTCTTCTGAATTCCCCGAATGTAAATAGTCGAGTGATTTTCTGTAATTTTGATTTTGGTTAGATGTATTTGTGAATTGCTTCGTATTATTTTGTTTTCATTGTGCCGCATAAATTTGAATTCGTGTCGGTTGTCGATATTTGAACTCGAAATCAATGGTATGATTATTGTGTACCCAATTTTGATCTTTGGATTTGGTTTTATTATTTATTTGCGTTATCAGAGGTGCGATCGGCAGCAGAGAACACTACATAGTGCAACCATTATTTCGGGGTCATTTCACTCGAGACTTTTGTCACGTGTTGCGTTCCTACTTCAATTTTCTCTTTCGTGTATACATTTTTCGTAATTTCAACTCTACATATTCATTATTATTATTATACCATATATGTAGTTAGAGTTCGGTGTATTTCGTTGTGCAGTCTTGATACGCTAGAGCCCTTTTTTTATTCACAATTTACCTTTGGAATTAATCTCCAAAGAAGTTTCTGATAAAAATTTAGTGGGCGACCAACGTTTTCGCCTTACGAATCCCGAGAAGAATTAATTAATTCAGCTACCGTATGTCTATTAATATAATTCCTGAGACGAACACGTTGATTGTTTTTTTAGGTTTCCAAAAACTCTATATTGCGTGTGTTCGTAAATCGACCAAGTATCTTATTATGGTTTTGCGTAATACGACCCTGATCTTTTGATGCGCTGCCATTCAATGGTCCGTTGCAATTTGTCGGCGTTGTTTATCTTGCCAAATGGCTGCGCTATCAGTTGCGACTAAATTGAAGTACAGGTACATTTGTTTTGTTTAGCACTCTTAATCGAATTTGTCATGCTACCTATAATGTCCGATGCGGCGAAACTGCTTCAACACGATAGTTTTAATAGTTTTACTTGAAGAAAAATTGAAAGTATGAACATTTTCATCAAGAAAGATATAAATAATGACTGGATCAATTCCTTATGCCAATTTCCGTTTTTTTTTTTTTGTGGAATCTTGGGCTCGCGTTTCCTCGTCCTTTGTTTGAGTTATTTATGTGAACTGAAGATTTTTCAAAGTGACGTTTTCATCTCTTCGTCATCGTCTTCTTCTTTTTATTTTTTTTTTAATTTTAATGGAAAACACGTCTCATCGCATTCCCTTAGTGTGTAATTTATCAATCAAAACTTTGATTTTGTCTCAATAAATAATGAGGAGCATTTTGTAAAGTGTTCAATGCCAAAAAGTGATGTGTGAAATTCTGCGCCTCCTCAAATGTTTCTCTTTTCGCTTCTCAGTCGAAATGAGAAAGAAAAATCAACATTGTTTTCAAATAGATTTCTCATTTTATTTTCCTCATATTTATTTGAAGTTTGCTTATTTTTTTCTATCGCCTCGTTTCCTGGCCAAACGCCTTTTGCGACTGTTTTTTGATGGTCTCTCTTAATTTTTACGGATTCTGTTTTTTTAATTAGTTTTTTTGTAATAACGTGATCCCGTGAAATATCTCAAAGTCGCCGGTGATATCTCGAAGCATTCATTTTCAAAATATTTTGGTTATTAACAAAAAAATCGTCACAATCTCGAATTCCGCTGATAATGTTGAACATCACTGTTCACAAATTTTTGTATCGAAATGGTGTGATCGAATCTCGCTCGTTTGTTGCCCATAACAATCAGCACCCAGTGTTTGTTTCCAGTATGTAAGTGTGCGAGTGAGTGTGTATTGATAACACAGGCGCAGAAGGGGTGTTCTTCTTTTTTTTTAGTGTACGCGATAAGCGACAAACACAAAATTGTTTTCTTTTCTCCTCGATCAATAGGATTTATCGAAGAAAAATAAGGAATTGTCGAGTTTTGCACACGTGAACTGCCACACGTGGCGTACTCAACGGGCGTCCGAAATGATCAGTTACGTGAGCCAAACGCGCCAGCTTCTTCTCAATTTATCTATCACTCTCTGTTTGAATTGCTCTACAAGCTACTGGTTCCTGAATCGAGTCGTATGGTTTTCAGGGATGCGGTTCACACGTCTACCCGTCCTTGCCAACTTCGTCCGACACAGCGCCATCAGTCAGCGATATGCTAGCTCCGTCATCAAGCCCAGAGAATTCGACAAGGTACTTTATGACTTGAGTGAATGCTTCAAATGACAATTATTTAGGTGATGGTTGCGAATCGTGGAGAGATTGCGATTCGTGTGTTCCGTGCGCTCACCGAGTTGAACAAGACCTCTGTGGCGATTTATGCGGAGCAGGACAAGAACTCAATGCACCGCTTGAAAGCTGACGAAGCATATTTGGTTGGAAAAGGATTGCCACCAGTTGCCGCCTATCTTACCATCGATCAGATTATTGAGACCGCCTTGAAAGTTAGTACCGATTCTTCGAATGATTATTCGTTTTTGCTTAATTTCAGCACGACGTTGATGCCATTCATCCCGGATACGGTTTCCTCTCGGAGCGCTCGGATTTCGCGCAAGCTTGCAAAAACGCCGGAATCGTGTTCATCGGCCCAAGTCCCGACGTGATGGCGCGAATGGGAGACAAAGTTGCCGCGAGACAAGCCGCAATTGAAGCTGGTGTCCAAGTTGTGCCTGGAACACCGGGACCGATCACATCCGCTCAGGAAGCTGTCGAGTTCGCCAAACAATATGGGGCGCCAATCATTCTCAAGGCCGCGTATGGTGGCGGGGGACGCGGAATTCGCCGAGTCGATAAACTTGAAGACGTCGAGGAAGCGTTCAGACGATCGTATTCGGAAGCGCAAGCCGCGTTCGGAGACGGAAGCTTGTTCGTCGAGAAGTTTGTTGAGAGACCAAGACACATTGAAGTCCAGCTTCTTGGTTCGGATTTCAATTTATATTCGTGAAAATTTGTGAATTCAATTTTAGGAGATCATCACGGAAACATTGTGCACTTGTACGAGCGTGATTGCTCTGTGCAACGTCGTCATCAGAAGGTCGTCGAGATCGCACCGGCACCAGCACTACCAGACGGTGTTCGTGAGAAGATTCTCGCTGATGCTTTGAGATTGGCGAAACACGTCGGATATCAGAACGCCGGAACCGTCGAATTCTTGGTGGATCAACGCGGAAACTACTACTTCATTGAAGTCAATGCGCGTCTTCAAGTCGAGCACACGGTCACTGAAGAGATTACCGGGTAGGACTTGTTTGAATCGAATATAATTTCTAGAATTTTTCCATTTTAAAGAGTCGATCTTGTGCAAGCTCAAATTCGCATCGCTGAAGGAAAATCGCTTGATGATTTGAAATTATCGCAGGACAGCATTCAAGTCAACGGATCTGCGATTCAATGTCGTGTCACCACCGAAGATCCAGCTAAAGGATTCCAGCCAGACTCGGGAAGAATCGAAGTGTTCCGTTCAGGAGAAGGAATGGGAATCCGTTTGGATTCGGCTTCAGCGTTTGCCGGTTCCGTCATCTCGCCGCATTATGATTCGTTGATGGTGAAAGTGATCGCGTCGGCGCGAAATCATCCAAATGCGGCTGCCAAGATGATTCGCGCTTTGAAGGAATTCCGAATTCGCGGTGTCAAGGTCGGTTTCGGCGACAGATGAAAAGTGAACAACAAATAAGAGCTGATAACGATTGATAAGAGATTGTTGTACTTTGCACTGATTGTTTTTTCTTTCCAGACAAACATCCCGTTCTTGCTCAATGTGCTCACACAGCCGAAATTCCTCGATGCTTCCGTCGACACCTACTTCATCGATGAGCATCCGGAGTTGTTCCAATTCCAACCGAGTCAGAATCGTGCTCAGAAATTGTTGAACTACTTGGGCGAAGTGCAGGTGAGCATACGTGCAAAACGGTGAAATGAGAGAGAGAGAGAGAGCGGAAGATAGTGATTTATTGAAACACTCGCGACACAACAAATGATCTTTGTATCTTTCGCGAATTTCACAGATGTTTTTTTTCCAGGGGATTGGAAATTGTGATCATTTCAGGTGAACGGACCAACAACTCCATTGGCTACTGATTTGAAGCCGGCCGTCGTCAGCCCGCCAATTCCATACGTTCCAGCTGGAGCCAAGCCGCCAACGGGACTTCGCGAGATTCTTGTCAAGAAGGGACCAGAAGGTTTTGCGAAAGAAGTCAGACGACACAACGGATGTTTGATCACTGATACCACATTCAGGTAGCTTGTAGATTTGTGTCAATTTCGAATCGCCGTCTGTTTCAGAGATGCGCATCAATCGCTTCTCGCCACTCGTGTTCGCACCTATGATCTTGCCGCAATCTCGCCGTACGTTGCTCAAGCGTTCCCAAATCTGTTCTCGCTTGAAAACTGGGGTGGAGCCACTTTTGACGTTTCGATGAGATTCCTTCATGAATGCCCATGGGAGCGACTTCGTCTTCTTCGCGAGAAGATTCCCAACATTCCATTCCAGTGCCTTCTTCGTGGTGCCAACGCGATGGGATACAGCAATTATCCGGATAACGTAATCTATAAGTTCTGCGAACTTGCCGTCAAGAATGGAATGGACGTGTTCCGTGTGTTCGATTCATTGAACTATGTGCCAAACTTGCTTGTTGGAATGGAAGCCGTTGGAAAAGCTGGTGGAGTCGTTGAAGCCGCCATCGCCTACACTGGAGACGTTTCGGACAAATCGCGCGAGAAGTACGGTCTCAATTATTATCTCGATCTCGCTGAACAGCTCGTCAAGGCGCAAGCGCATGTGCTTGCGATCAAGGACATGGCCGGCGTGTTGAAACCGGAAGCCGCCAAGATTCTCATCGGTGCTCTTCGCGACAAATTCCCAGACATTCCGATTCATGTTCACACTCACGACACGTCGGGAGCCGGAGTCGCCGCGATGCTCGAATGCGCCAAAGCTGGAGCTGATGCCGTCGACGCAGCTGTCGACAGCATGAGCGGAATGACGTCGCAACCATCGATGGGAGCCATTGTTGCTAGTCTTCAAGGAACCAACTTCGACACGGGATTGAGTCTTGATGATGTATCGAAGTACTCTGCGTATTGGGAGTCGGCTCGTCAGCTCTATGCTCCGTTCGAATGTGCCACGACCATGAAGAGCGGAAACGCTGATGTCTACAAGCACGAGATTCCAGGTGGACAATACACGAACTTGCAGTTCCAGGCATGATCTTGAGATTCAGATGAATGGAAATTGATGTATTTTAGGCATTCTCACTCGGACTTGGAAATCAATTCGATGAAGTCAAGCGCATGTATCGTGAGGCCAATATGGTCCTTGGCGATATTATCAAGGTGACACCATCGTCAAAGATTGTTGGCGATTTGGCGCAATTCATGGTGCAAAACAATCTCACTCGCGAGACTCTTGTGGATCGCGCCGAGGACTTGTCGTTCCCACAGAGTGTCGTCGACTTTATGCAAGGCAACATTGGGCAACCGCCATATGGATTCCCGGAGCCGCTGAGAACGAAGGTGTTGCGAGGAAAGCCGAAGGTTGATGGACGACCAGGAGCCAATGTGCCATCATATGATTTCGATGCCGCCAAGAAGAAGCTCGAAGAGAAACACGGAAGAAAATTGAGGTAGATTTTTGTTTAATTGGCATGAACCATAAATTCGGATTGTTTTTCAGCGACGAGGATGTTATGTCGCATACGATGTTCCCAGCCGTGTTCGACGAATTCGAAGGATTCCGTCAAGTTTATGGACCGGTCGACAAGCTTCCAACGAGAATCTTCCTCACTGGACTCGATATTGCTGAAGAATGCGATGTAATTTGTCTCAAGTTGTTCGTAAATGCGGAATTTTATCGATTTCAGGTTGAAATTGAAAGCGGAAAAACGTTGGCGGTTCAATTGTTGGCTGAAGGCAAATTGAACTCTCGTGGTGAACGCGAGGTGTTCTTCGATCTCAATGGACAAATGAGAAGCATCTTTGTAACTGACCGTGAAGCTAGCAAGGTAGGGCAATTGATTAATTGATCTTCTTGTATAAATTGTCGGTGATGTGTGTGTTTTCAGGAAATCGTGACGCGTCCACGCGCGCTTCCAGGAGTTCGCGGACATATCGGTGCACCGATGCCGGGAGATGTTCTGGAATTGAAGGTGAAAGAAGGAGACAAGGTGCGGTATTTTTTTTTTCAAATTGAGATCTTTCCGTTTCGCATTCAATTGGCGTCATTAAATTGGATTTCGAATATTTATGGGGTCGTCGTTACGCATGCTGACCAAAAATCTAGAGCCACCCTCTTCCCTTTATAGACATAGAGGTGTTCTATGCGAAAAAGTTACTTTTAATGTAGCGCGCTATTTTTATACACTACTATCCTAGATACTCTTCTTCTTCTTCGTGTTATTTTTTTTTTCATTTAAAAGAGATGAGATGAAAAGTATATAATATAATCATTGAGTTGAGTTGCCTTTTGCCGACTTTCTTGCCAAATATAAATGCGACAAAATTATTTTTTGGTTTTCACTGAAAATCTCGCCCATTTGGTTGCAATACTGCCCAATTATGCGCTATTGTTGAAGTTTTTATGGTGCCGAACAAGTGTTGAATACTTTTCGAATTTTGGTGAACTTATAATTAAAAATTCCAAAAAAAATAGCAGGAAAATTTATTTGTTTGAAAAAAATGTGAATTTATTGTGTTTGTGTTATTACAGGTCACCCAAAAGCAGCCGTTGTTCGTTTTGTCGGCGATGAAAATGGAGATGGTGATCGATTCGCCGGTTGCGGGAACTGTGAAAAAGGTGCACGCGACGCAAGGAATGAAATGCGGCGCTGGAGATCTTGTGATTGAAATTGAGCCATAAATTGTATCATAATTTCGAGCCCATCATATTCATCAACATCATGTGTTCTTTTTTTTGGTTTTCATTAGCAAAAAGACGATCGTAGAAGGCTGGCTAGTCATTTTGTAGCCGTCATAATTTTTTGGTGTGCGCGGCGCGCTCTTCCATGTCTCTTTGTTTTTGCCATCACTTCGAAAAAAGACACGAGCGACTTTTTGGTGTCGGCCGAATCCTGATAAAAGGCCGACAAATTCATTTCCGTTCTCCTCACACCTCTTCGCTGTTTCATATTCAATTTTTTGGAGTTTTTTTTATTGAATGTATATGGCCATTTTTTGTTTTTAGTTTTCCCCACTCCCCCACCCTCTTCTTTTTTAGGTAGTTGTTTTTTGTTCCTTCCCATCAGCTTCTCAATGATTCTTGTAAAAAGCCTCCATAAGGTGTATTTATGGCATTTTTGTTTCGGGTTGCGCTCGATAAATATTATAATTGTAGACTTGCCGTGTGTGTTTCTTTTTTTTTTCTTTCAGACACCGACACTTATTTATTTTTTTTCCTCCGTTTTCTTTTAGGTACCCGTCGTCTTTGCATTTTCTTTTTGACATTCGGGCTTCCTATGCGTGTTACGTTTGACAGCCTCACATCATGTTTCAACTTTCAACAAATTGTTGCGTTGCTCCTATTCAGGTATGGACTTTGAACGTTGACGTTGTGCTAAAACAAATTGATGGCCGAAAATGATAAAATGCGATCGAAATTTGAAATATTGGTTTTTGGAAAAATATGTGGTCAAGTCTGTGAATTTTTAGGCCACGGCCACGAAACCGAACGTATAGTTTTTTTTCCCCCAAATGTAGTCCAGTTTGTTCGGGGGATCCCTGAAAAACTATTCGATTCCAACGACCTTATTCAATTTTTCATTAATGAATTTCTCGTCCTCATGGATCAACGGATAATCCCATCTCAAAATTGAATGTTTCCTTCATAATGCCGAACTCTTGGTAAATGTATATTGCAAGTGGTAAAAATTGTAAATATAACCGAGATTCTTAGGAGAATGATGCCTTCTATCAGATTGCTGATATTCGCTGACAAACAAAATAGAAAAAAAAAACCAATTTCTGATAAATTAATTAAAATTTCAATTATCAAGAGAATTGAATTAATTAAAATTTCAATTATCAAGAGAATTGGGAGATGAGTAAGGGTTTAATGAGTTTAAAGTTTCAGCTTTGAACAAAAAAAATGATAGTGAAAGCATACGCCTTTAATTATACTAACATTCAAAAATCTCAAAATTGTTTTCCAGACAGGCAAATCCAAAATATTTTTTAGATTAAGATGGGGCACTTTGATAAATCTGTCGGGTGTTTTCCACGTCCTGCGTTCAAATAAAAGCAGCAAAAAAAAGAACTAAAGACACCAATAAAATTCGTGCGGTTGTCGAAGTCGAAATCGAAACTTGCTCGAATTCGTGCGTTCTGGAACAATGCGCAATCGCGCGGAAAATCTTCCGGGGTAGGGCAGCGACCCGACCGAGTTCTCGGAAACGTGTGCGCCTCGTCTAATTCGCCGCAAGTTGTTGTAAGCGACTCCGAAACGAAAAACGGTTTCCTGTGTTTGCAATTCTAACGAGACGACGTCGAAGGAGCCGACTGACGGAGATGCTCCGCCTCTCGGGCTCGTTTATGTGTTGTGCTTGTGTGGTTTTATTTTTCGATTCGAGAGTGCGCGTTTCGCCTTTTATATCGCTGGACCGCCCCCGTTGTGCTGGTGAGAGTGTGTGGCCGCATATTGGCCAACTTAATTGAACCCCAAAAACAACACACCGTTTCTCAAACTTTTGCCACAAAACTCGTTGTGCGGATTCTATTTCGCAAACATGTCGACGATCGGAGCTCGGTAGGTCTTTATGTATTACAATTCTCCGAAGGCTCTCCCCCTCGTTTTTGAATTTTTGAGGATCATTTATCAGCCGGAAATGGGCCATTTAATCAAAGATTGGCAACATTTAATATATATTTTATAATCTAAATCTCTTTCAAATTTTTACGACAATTTTTTTTGCGAAAACGTACTTAAGGATTATTGGAGTTAATTGCTTACACCCCTGGAAATTGATATTTCAGAAGCGGTGTTTATTTGCGAAATTTTTCTGGCAAAAAATACATTGATATTTTCTATTATTATCGAAATTTTGATGAAAATGGGCTATTTTCAAACAAAAAAAAGCAAATATCAACTTCTTAAAATCTGTACCAGTGAAATTTTGGATATTTTTGGTATTTCGGACAACCAAAACATGTTTTGAGTTAAATATTTTATGTTTTCCGAATTGCAAATCACAAAAATGAATTATGACGTCAACGATTTTTACCGTATTTGAGTTTGTTTAAGAACCTAGCCTTTTCGAAATAATCAAACCTTTTCATAATTATACATTTCGATATTATATGGGGAAACTCGACAGAATTGGAAATGCTACTGAAAAATTTTCTATTTTTTGTCGTTTAGGGAAAGTTGGGTTTGAAGAAATAATTTCAATTTTTATAATATCATGAATGGCTGAGCTGATCAATGAGTATAGTTAGAAAATTGCGAAATTCTCTCATATTTTGTTTCAGACGAAAGGTTAGCGACTCTCACAGCTCATCGGAAATATCGACGGATGAGCTGACGCCTCCGGTGGCGAAGAATTCGAGTGGCGGCGATTCGCAGTCATTGCACAGTGCTCACACCCTGCTTCCGGTCGCGGTGAGTCAGACTTCACATTTAATTATGATCTAATTAAGATAAGAGGCCCCAAAAAACCAAGTTTTGTTTTGTTCTAGGCTAGAAATGATTTTCGATGGGATGTCTATGCAGATTTTGGAAGCAAATTTTCAGAATCAAAAATCTCTGAGACCAGATGCAGATTGAGAAAGAAAAAAAGTCCAGTTTTTTTCTTCAATTATTTTTTTCAAAATCTGCATACCACCATAGAAAATTTCCAACACTTTTCATAAATTCAAAACTTTTCCAAAAAAATTATAAATTAATTTATTTAATTGTCTGCAACGCAAGCCTCTGACACCTTAACAATTTTATATCATATTTATTGGCATCATGGAAATTTTTCATTTCAAGACGAAACTTTTTTCATTCTCCAAATTCTTGAGATCAAATCATTAAAAAAACCAAGAAGAAAACAAATTTTTTCTTTATTTCTCTTTTCATTTTTGATCGATTTACGGCATCACTTCACATAAAAATCGTGACGAGACCCATTTCGTTCAAAATCCAACCATGTTTAGATTTGAAGTTCGCCAGACGCTAAATTCAAAAAATGCTCCCTTAAACGAGTTATCGATGATTTCCTCCCGAGATATTCTTTAAAGGCGGATACCAAGAAAAAATTATGAATTCGTTTTCTCATCGCCAATAATTTTAGCATCATCTTCCCGTCGTTCCGATTTAAAATTAAAATGACCAACTTGTATTCCCACATTTATATTTATTCTTTTCCTCATATCGTTTTCTTCCGTTTTTTTCTCGAACAGAAATAATGTTCGAGGGGAGAAAAATGGAAACTTTATGCAAACAACCTATAGAAGTATATAGTCGACATTAAAGGGGCAGCAAAAAGTTTTTTCATTCCATATTTTTAAACTATAAATCCAATATTTACCTACTACTATCGCAAAAAAATTATCTTGAGCAATTGTGGACTATCGTATTTTGTTTGGCGGTAGATCAAATTCGAATTATAGATTTACGGGCGCGCGGTTTTCGCTAAGTTAAAATTTCGCGATTGAATAGCATTTCATTGGAATTTCATTAACATTTCGATATGATCGAAAATCAAAAAAAAATCAGTGATTTTCAAATTGGTATTTAAAGGCGCATGTAGTTTTTGTTTTGACATAGTCTCACACGAACTATCTTTTAAGGGGTCGTTTCAATATGTAATTGTTAAATTTGAATGACGTTCGAATTCGAAATTCAAAGATATACTAAACTCATCAAGAAAAACTGTTTTCGTAAAGAAAAACGAAATAAGCGTTAACGCGTGGCGAGACCATTTTCGATCGGCGCACGCAGTAAATCTACCAGCGCACAGAAGCAGTCGCCGGACGCCGACTATACATTAGATATGAAAATTTTCCGTCGTCGCCGTCTGATTTGCTTCGTTTCCGTCAGTTATTTTTTCAGTTTTGTTGTTTCTTCGCGACTAAAAAAATCATAGTAGTATTCTCGTATTCATGCATCATCAATCTTGTCGAAAACGTTTCGAAAAGGTATATTTTGCTACGAAAATTCATTGCAACCATTATGGGGGCAAAACGATCGTTTTTCGAGATTGGCGGTCTGGTATTATTATGTTTTCTTTTAAATCGGGGATTTGTTATGAAATATTCAGACAACGAACTTATGAAAATCTGCGAAAACTGAGGCTAAAGTGGGGAAAATGAAGAATTTTTCTTAAAATAAACAATTGCGCTACTACCAAAATCGGTGGTGGCGAGACTCAATTAATTTTTCTCGATATGAGCCTTTAATTAAATATTTAATTTATTAATATCGCAAGAAAGAACGTCTTGCGCCGATGTTTATCGAAGTCAGGTACCTCCCACTGTTTCAAATGGAATTTTGAATTACCGCCTTGAAAAGTGCGATGGTCCACAATTATATTTGCGATATTAAGATTATAAAAAGTATATTCACAATCTTTATTAAAATTTGAAAATTTTGCTCAGAATGCTCAAAATCAGTGATTTTCATGGCTTTTCAAATTTCGGCAATATTTTTGAATTGGATGATTAAAGGAGCAATCGATTCTGGCCGGAATGTGTTCGGACGATCATATTTATGAAGCGGCAATTCAAAATTCGATTTATTCGATAGGAGTTATTATTTATAACCGTCGAATCAAACTTATTGTAATTTAGAAACTAGCACTCATTTTTTTTAAAACTTGGGGCAATCAAATACATATATCGTCTTGATGAAGACCATATTTGGGTCTTGTGGCGATTGAAATG